GGCCCGCACTGGTTCCTCCACAATCCCTCAATCAACTGTGTGACCCTCAAAACGAAGGGTACCCCCATTCTTGCCCTGGTCCAAGACCTCCCTTAAAACCCTAGTATTAAAAGTCACCATGCAGCACCCTCCAACAAACACAGTGGGAGAAGTGGGCTAAGAACCACTGGCCACTACCTCTGGGCCCTAGGCCCTCCCCTTCCCCCACCCGTGGCCACTGCAGTCTTCTGGTCTGGGTGGGAAGCAGGTGCACACAGGGGGGCGGTTCACAGCTGTCCCCTGACTTCAGCCAGGAGCCTTTTGGTTACTGTTGGAAATACAGGCAAAGAAGGAAATTAACTTGAGTGACAGTACTCTGTGAACTGCCACATGCAGAAGAGAGAGAACCCAAGCTCCCCTGTCCCCAGAGGTGCTGCTGCCTGTCACCCACTTTTCAGCTGGCCCTTGGTTCTGTGTGACCCTGGAGGGACAGATCCTGATCTATGGATGCATGGACATATTTTCTAGGCATCTGCTTGTATGGGGGCCCTGCAGCCTCTGGGGTGGGCAGATGCTATGTGACTTGGATTGCCACACGCAGGGGTGTGAGTCCCTATAGCTGCCCCAGGTTGAGGGTGTGGAGGAGGACTGGATCTCCACTTGACTTCCTCCGTTGTTGACACAGAGAAACCACCAGCCCCAGGCAGAAGCCACTCTGTGTCCTTTGGGTTTACAGGGAACCTGTGTACAGGTGATGCCCTGCTTTGGGGCCACAAGGTGGGGAGTGGGGCCCAGAGTACAGTGAATGGCTATGGTGGGGACCTGTTCCTTTGGCCCCTAGAGGATGGGGGTTATTGCTAAGCATCTCTGAGGCCATAGAGGTGGACAGTCTGTACCCACCCCCTTACCCGGTTTTAGAAACAGTGTGCGTGTCCTGAGCACCCCCAGGTAAGGCACCTAGGCCAGCTGCAGGGTGTTCTTGGCTGCTGTAGGAACTCTGGCATTTCCCAGACATCTCAGGTGGCATGCCCACAAATACAGGTCACTGTACATCCTGCCAGGTGTGCTCACTTTCTGCCCTTCCCACTGTCCATCCCTCAGTGGCAGGGGTCACTTTCTTGGCCTCTGCATTGTATGGAGTACAGAAAGACTGAGCAGGTGTGGTCTTGAGAGCAGGCATGGGGCCTTCTGTCCTGACCACCATCACTGTGTGACCATGTATCCTCTGGATCTCATGTGCAACCTGTCATGTATGCATGCAGTTGGCAGCAATAGGGGACTGCAGTCAACTTTCATGCCCAGGGCACTTCTTGGTACCCAGTGCATGGTGGCTGTGTGACTTTGTGCCCAGTGAGTGCATATGTGTGTGTGTGGTGTGTCACAGGATATGTGTGCTAAGGCCCAGCCTTGGGGCTGCTGGGATGGCCTGCTCTGGCCTGGGCTGACCAGGAGCAGATGTGGCCTAACAGCCTGTACATTCCTGGGCTGTGACTCAGTCCTGTGGGGAGGGGGTGAGTCACTGGCAGCTTAGGCCCAGCCCCAGTCTGGGCCCTGCACCCCATCCTGGATGTAGACCCCCTCCTAGGAACAAGGTGCAGCCCCCCTCTGGCATTTCTGTGTTGCAGACCTCTGAACCTTAGGCACTGGGGAAGAGAGACCCCCTTGGTACAGGTAGGTCCTGGGGGTCCTGGGGTAGGGGCTGATTTAACCCTTACTGCTCTGGACGTCTGGCTTCTGAAACTGCCCCTTCTGCTGCTGACATAGCTCAAGTGCCCACCCAGGGACATGAGTCATAGCACCAGGCATGGGCACATACGTTTTGTGGGTCCCGGCCCACCCTTGTCACGCATACCCATGCGTGTCCTGAGTTGCTCCCACATGCACATCCGGATTGTGTACATATTTGGGGGTCTCAGCACCCCTTCCTGTGTGTTGTGGAACACAGGCTTGCATGCCTGGCAAATGTGATCCTGTCCTGACTGGGCTGCCAAGCTCCCAGCACCCCCCCACACACGCCTGTGTACACCCAAGTACATCCCCACTTTCCTGTCCACACGAACCTGTCCCTAGTCATCTCAGTGCCCACGAGTCCGAGGCCCACGAGCACACACATGCGCCACACCTGGCAGCACGCACAGTCTGCTCATCCCCCACCCTGGCTCTGGGCCCCGAGGATTGGGGCCAGCTGGGTGACTGGAGTCTACCAGGACGGCCCCACTTTTGCGCCCCCGCCTGGCGGCCGCCAGGTGCACCATCCCAGCCCCGCCTGGCCGGGAGGGGGCGGTAATTACGCGGCCCCGGGGTACCCCACCACCACTACAAGTCTTTCATCCTGGACCACTCCCGTCCCTGGTCGAGACGCTCATTATCGCCTCCCGCCCGGTCATTAGCCGGGGTCGGGAAAGGACCCAGCGTCCGGCGGGCCCGGCCCCGCGGGGAGGGCGGAGGAGAAGCGGCCCTGCCCCCACCTATATAGCGACGCCTCGCAGAGGGAGGGCGGGGCTGCCAGCCCTGGGGTGGAGTGGGCGAAACCCTCGGGATGGGGGGCGCCCCGTCGGAGACAGCTGGCTGGGGAGGGGGCAGGTTTGTGAAAAAGCCGACGGCTGCGCAGAGCCGGGGAAATGCGGAGATGAAGAGACAGGGAGACTCCCGGCCGAGCCCGAGTCCTCGAGGGGCAGGGGCGAGTCCCAAGCGTCTATACAGGAATAGCAACCCCACTCCGGCCCGGCATAGTCGCGGGGCGAGCTGGGGCAGGCAGCAGGGCTCTGAGGTCCCCACGCCAGGGAGGTACTCGCCCTGCGGGTTGGCCGTCCTGACCCGCGAGGGCTGGGGGCGGTAGAAGGACCCGACACTCCACGCGAGGCCACGCAGCTGGCGATTGCCCTGAAGGGCGGGACCTGGGAGCTGGTCGCAAAAGCTTCAGCCACGCCGACAGCGAGGCTGCGGCGCCCCCTTGTGTCAGCGCCGGGCTATGAGCCTGGCCTCGAGTTCATCGTGTAGGGGTGGCAGACGGGGTGAGAAGGGGTCCTCACCTCCTGCAAGCCCCGCACGAGGATAGTGAGTCACGGTGACACGCCGAGACTGATGTACACGCAGACAGGACACCACAGAGGCACAGGCTCGGAGACCGGTACAAAGCTGAGACTCGAGCACCCTGTGGAGGGGCAGAAACGCAGAGGACAGGCTTCCGCAGTTTCACGTCCACACCTTGCTGGGGACCCCGGACGGCCGTGGGTACTCTCGGGGACCGGCACACAGGAATTGCTGGTAGTAAGCTGAATAACTAGGTGCTGGCAGAATGAGTGAATGAACACAGGGCTCCACACAAAACCAGGAGGAAGCAGGGACTCAGAACTAGAGGCAATGTGGGGGCCCAGAATGACCCCGGAATTGTGACTACAGAGACGCTTCCCATCCCTGAGAAACTATGGCACAAGAATTTCCGGGCCTAGGATTCAGATTGGAAAGGGCGGGCCTGAATTGCTCTGGGGCGGGGTGTGCCAGTGGTCTAGGCTCCTGAGGGTGTGGGTGGCCCCCTCCACACAGCCAGGGGAGCTGGATGCTGATGTCTCTCTGCTCCTTATAATAACAGTTCTGCGTGAGTGGCTGACGCAGCAGCAGGTTGCTGCTGACGGGGAGGCAAGGTGCAGAGGGGGTGGCCATGAGTCATGCAACTGCCGGCCTGGGAAGGGGTCCTTGAGCTCTTTGAGGGTACTGGCGACCTTGTCACTGGAGATAGCTGGGTCATTTCGACCTGCTTGAGTCCGAGGCCTGGGGTGGAGCTGGGATTTTTCAGGAAAACGGGGCCACTTCTTCAATGACCCTCAACTTTCCTGCAGAGTCCGAGACTTTCTGGGGGAGGAGCTGTAGTGTGGATCACTGGTCTGGGCAGACAGAGAAGGATTTACAATCTTCTTCGACTAGGTGGCCTGGGAGCAGCATGAGCTAAGCAGGCCATAAAAGGTCCCCCACCCCAGGAGCAGCCTTAGGGGCAAAGGCCTTTGCAAACTCATCACAGAGGTGCTCTTGGGACATCTAAGGACCAGAGAAGAGATGCCTTCTAAAGAACAAGACACGGGTGGCAGAGCATAGAGGGCCCTGACCTCCGGGTGGGTAGTCAGTAGGTTGTGGTTGTGGAGACCCACGGGATGGCTGTGACTGGGATGCCTGGTAGCAGCGGGGAAGCCAAAGGCAGAGCTGGATTTGGGTATATTGGGGACTGCATGGTGGAGCCACTTGAACATGGGGTGTCGGTTTGGCACATAGACCTGGGATGGACAAATTCCAGGCCAGGTGAGTGTTGGGATGCCTGTGAAATATCTGCCAGGGATGGAGAGAGTGAGGTCAGGGAATAGCTTAGAGTTAGGGGCGGAAGTGGTTGGATTTGTGGGCACACTGAACTGGGGTGTCCCAAAGTGTTGGGATGGAGGAAGAAGTGGAGTTGTGAGGAATATTGGGGCTCACATAAATGGGACTGTCGGTGTTGGGGTTTGGTTGGGTGTTGCGTTTGATTGCATGAAATGGTTCATTCAGGAGCCTTGGAGTTCTGGGAGTCGGGGGTTATCAGCTATATTGGCAAGTAGATAAGGGTTGATGTCAGGATTCAGAGGAAGTTGGGGTGTCTGAAGTCCAGGGCTCGGATAGGTATAGGCATCTGGATGAAGTCGATATGTTGGGATTGGAGCGATACGAGGGGGTGGGTGCCATGAGGCAGGAGACCCTTTGTTCCTCGCCGCAGGCCAGGGTACCGGCACACGGAAGTGGGTCAGCCCTGCCCCACTGCCCCGACCACGCCCCCGCGCACTGGGGCGGGAGACTGCGGACTGGGAACATTCCGGCCAATCAGCACGCCCGGCGCCAGTGCTGGGGGAGGGGCGGGGCCCGAGTTTGCTCCGCCCCAACTCATGAATATGAGGCGCGGCCGCAGTTTCAGAAGCCTCGGATTGGCTTACGAGGTTTAAGGGGCGGGTTAGGGGGGGCGGGGCCCGGCGGCAGCATATATCAGACCGGGCACGGGGCGCCCCCCCCTCACTCGCGCGTTAGGAGGCTCGGGTCGGTGTGGTGTGCCGTCTTCCCGCTCGCGTCAGGGACCTGCCCGACTCAGCGGTGAGGGCCCTGGCGGCACCGACTCCGAGGGGCCCGGGCGGTGGGCGGCCTGAGACGCCCAGGCGAAGCGGGGCCGCGGCGGCACGCCCCTGGGAGGGGGCGGTGCCGGGGCGGGCCCGGGGTGGAGTCCGTCCCTCCGGCGGCGAGGGGCAGCGGGAGACCGGGTCCTGCGTTGGCCTGAGGGCGTTTCCCCTGAGACCCGGGCCCCCGGCTTGGCGGGCCCTGCTCAAAATGGCGGCCGCGAGCTCCAGGCTGCGCCAGCGAAATGGCGGGAGTGCCGAGTGCCCGGATGGAATGGCGCAGGGCGTGCGCGTGGCGCATGCGCCGGGGCTGAGTAGGGGGCGGGGCCACGGGGCGCGTGGAGGCCCGTCCCGGGCTGTGGGGCCGGGGCGGCGCGCACCCCGTGGCTCCCGCTCCACGAGCCTCTATTTTCCCGTCCCCATGTGGTAGCACATTTAAAAGGACGCCCTCGCCAGGCCAGGCCGGGCGCGCTCAGTGTGTGTGTGAGGCGACAGCCCCTTGCGCGGCCTATGAGTCCCGCTCCTCGTTTCTGGACCTTTGGGCAGTGGTCGTCCCCAGCCAATAAATGCTTTGTCCAAGTCGACATGCCCCGCCCCTCTAAGTAGCCGCGTCCCCTAAAAGCCAGGATTCTCGTCACAGCCGAGACTCCGCCCCAGAACGGGGCGGCCTCCATGACGGCACCCTCGGGGCGTCGTACAGTGATCGAAAGCACCTTCCAGTCCGGCCCCTCAGTCGGTAGACAGGCAGTGGCCAGGGTGGGAATTCGCCCCCTGCCCGCGGCGCGGGGCGCGGCCCAGCGCAGCCCAGCCCCGCTCGGTGGGCGGGAGGCCCCGCCCGCGGCGCGCCCGGTGGGTGGAGCTGGCCCCGAGGCGGCGGGCCGCGGCCGGGTGTGGGGCCGCCGAGCCGAGGGGGTCGGGGAGCTCCCCGGAGGGCGGGTCGGCGGGGCGCGAGAGGAAAGGGAGCCGTGAGCGAGGCGCCTGAAAGGTTGGTGGTGTGTGCCGCAGGCCGCCATGGCGTCCGACGAAGGCAAACTTTTCGTGGGCGGGCTCAGTTTTGACACCAACGAGCAGTCGCTGGAGCAGGTCTTCTCCAAGTACGGACAGATCTCGGAAGGTAAGCGGGCCTGAGCGGCGGCTGCGGGGCCCCGCTGTGGCCTGCTGGGCTCTGACCAGGCCTTCTCTCCTGCCCAGTGGTGGTGGTGAAAGACAGGGAGACCCAGCGATCGCGAGGCTTTGGTTTTGTCACCTTTGAGAACATCGATGATGCCAAGGACGCCATGATGGCCATGAATGGGAAGGTGAGGGCTGGCCTCTGCGGGTCCACGGGCCGAGTGGGAGTTCTGTTTCCTAAGATGCCAGGCACAGGGGTTGACTGCGCTACCCTCTGCTCTCCAGTCTGTGGACGGGCGGCAGATCCGAGTTGACCAGGCTGGCAAGTCATCCGACAATCGATCCCGAGGGTACCGAGGTGGCTCTACTGGAGGCCGGGGCTTCTTCCGTGGGGGCCGGGGCCGGGGCCGTGGGTTCTCCAGAGGTGAGTGCGGCAGTTTGCGGGGCACGGTGGAGTGCGGCTGGTGTGGGCGGTGCTAATCCTCTTTTTGGTTCTGTTTGTCTTCTACAGGGGGAGGGGACCGAGGCTATGGGGGTGGCAGGTTTGAGTCCCGGAGTGGGGGCTACGGAGGCTCCAGAGACTACTACAGCAGGTGAGGAGGTGCAGAGCCTGGCTGGGCTTAAGGGAAGCTGTTGAGGGTTGGTCCTGGGGAGGATGCTCCCCACATGGCATGGCATAAGCTGGCAGGCTGGTAGACAGGAGAGGTGAGGAAGTGGCAGAAGCAGGAGTGGAAGGAGTGCTCAGATCATGGAAGTGGGAGGCCCAGGGAGTATGGCTGGTAGCAGGGGGTTTTTGTTTTTGTTTTGTTTTTCATTTTTCTTATGCTAGTGATGGAACCCAGAGCAAGGCAAGCGCTAACAGCCCTGAGATGGCAATTTTTGACAATAACCAAGTTTGCTCTGCTTCTCCTAACATGGGCAGCTGGTTTGGGAGCTGGAGCTCTATCGGTATAGGCTTGAGCTTAAGTAGTCAAGGTGTCCTTTAGCACCCATGTATCTCTTCCCCACAGTCGGAGTCAGGGTGGTGGCTACGGTGACCGGAGCTCAGGCGGTTCCTACAGAGACAGCTATGACAGTTACGGTAAGTCTTGCTCCAAGGGTACCACACTCTGTGACTGTGGTGGGAGCTCAGTAAACCCTGGCGCCCTCCAACTTAGGCTCCATGCTCAGACCTTGTCACTCTGCTTGCCCGTAAGGAACAAGTCTGTCCTTTCAGCTGTTTCTACTGTAGAACACAAAAACCAGTCAGTGACCAAAGGAAAGGGAGTGTGAGGGAGCCGCCGTGCAGTCCAGCATAGGTGCATGTGTGCCGCTGCGGCCTCCCTCCCCTGGCTGTGGGGGGTGGTTGCTCCCGAGGCCCTCCGGTCTGGATGGGAGTGGATGCTGCATCTTGCTGCGTGCTTCAGCGCCTTTACACTGTGCCTGCTTCTTGTCCTCAGCTACACACAACGAGTAAAAATCCTTCCTGCTCAAGATCGTCCTTCCAATGGCTGTGTATTTAAAGATTTTGGGAGCTTCGCTGAATCGTTAATGTGTAGTGAACACACCTCCTTGTATGCCCACTTTTGTAGTCATTTCAGTTCTGATCTTGTCAACCCAGCCTGACTGCTTCTGACCCCCAAGATGGCCTCATTACTAGACTTTTCTTTTTTAAGGAAGCGCTGTCCGTTTTTAAAGGTTTTAAAAACGTTTTGAAAAGCACTTCAGATTTTATTTTTTACCATGAGCCATGGGTTTTTAAAAAACACTTGCAGGGGTTGTGTGGTTTTTGTTTTTGCAGTGCTGGGGTTGGAACCCAGAGCCTCATGCATGCAAGGCAAGTGCTCTACCACTGAGCCACACCCCAGCCCTGTTGTGTGGGTTGTTGGTTACTGGTTTTTTTGGTTTTGGATTTTTTTGGTTGTGTTGCTTTTTTTGTTTCTTTTTAGTGGGGTCACCCGGCGAAGTTGGGTGCCCCATCACTTCTCTGAGATCACGTGGACTCTGACTCCGCTCTCTGTCGGAAGCTGAGCAAGCTGAGGCTTTTCCAACTCTGTGTAACGTTTCTGAGTGTAGCGTGATAGGACACTGCCCCGCGCGGCTGCACAGGCTGCCCTGGAGCCCCGCCTGCACGCTCATCTGTGCTGTGTGCGCCCCACAGTAGAGGTGCAGATGTCCCTGCAGAGGTTCTTGAAGATGTTTATTTATATTGTCCTTTTTTACTGGAAGACGTATGCATACTCCATCGATGTTGTATTTGCAGTGGCTAAGGAATTCTTGTACGCAGTTTTCTTTGGCTTTACGAAGCCGATTAAAAGACCGTGTGAAACGAACCTTGCTCTGACAATTTCCCTTTCATTGCACAACACACGCTGTGCTGCGGCTCTCGCAGTCAGACCTGAGCAAGCACAGCGCAGCTGGAGCACAGCGCGCATAGGTCTGCGGGCCCTAGCTGAGGCCTGAAGGGAGCTAGAGGAGGAAGGCAGGGTAAAATGACCCAGTCGGGCCTTGTGGACAGCTGAAAGCCACCTCCCGTTAGGAGAGCCAGGTGGGTGACGGGAGGAGCAGCTCAGCCCGCAGAGCGCCCTGGTGCCTCTGGTGATGGCAGCCGCCGGAGGGCTCCATGGGGCGGGCACCTTAGCAGGGACAGCCAGCGCTTGGACACCTGACCGGACGGCCTTAGCCTAGCAGCAGGGCAGAGAGGGACAGCGCAGTGGCCTGGTGACCACAGACTGGGCTGGTTAGCTAGCTCTGCCTGCCTCACGAGTTCTGAGCGTTCTCTGCTAGCCTATGAAGCTGCAGCCCTCGGAGGACAGACGTTGTGCGCCCACAGAACCTCCGAGACCAGCGGCTCCCTGGGCTAGCGCGCAGTGCACTAGCCTGTACTGAGGTAACGCGTCCGCGGTCCGCCTCCCTCCTAGAGCTCGAGTCCCGCACCACCGGGGACGGTTCCGTGGACTGCTTTTGGTTTTCCTTTTTTATTTTCAAGTCAAGCTAGAACTAAAGTCAGGCCTGGTCGTCGGCCCCTGCCCTCTGCGGCCAGCCGGGGCCTCGGGCGGGCCAGGCCCCGGAGCGCCCTGCCGTGCGGACAGCCGGCAGCCTGTCCAGACTCCGCACGCAGCGCGCTCGTGTCTGCTGCCGCCCTAGACCCCCGAGCCCGCGCCGGACTCTGAGCGGCTCGGCGCTGTCTGGAGAGGCAAAGGCCGGCCCGGTAGGGGCTCGCGGCCGAGGTTGCAGGGCGGCCGGGAGGGGCAGCAGCCCTGCCCAGGGACGCGGCTGTAACGCTCCTTTGCTTTGGCAGGGTGAAGGCGGCCCGCATGGACAGCAGCGATGACCTCGGGTCGCCGCCAGGAGGGCCACACAGAAGGACAGCGAGACCAGCCGCCTGCCTCCCGGCTCGTCGCCGTAAGTGCCCCAGAGCCGGCCGGGGGCTGCCCGCGGGTCTCGCGGGACGGAGCTTCGCCGCGGGCCATGGTCGGTGCAGGAGCAAGAGCCGGGCGGCCGGCGGGGCGCGCGGTCTGAATAAAGGGCGTGTGTCACCCAGAGAGCGCGTGTCTGCTTCGGGGTGCGGCGCGGGAGCGGCGGGAGGCCGGGGGCGGGGCGGGGCGGGGCCGTGGGCTGGCCGGCGCGGGGCACTGTGGGTAACGTGGCCGTCTGAAGGGGACTTCCGATCGGGTGCCCCGCCCCCCGCCGGCTATAGGCCGGCACCGCCCACGCGCGTCTGAGTGGCAGCCTTAAGCAGAGGCGGGGCACCGCTTCCGCCGGGCCATGGGGCCGCGCGTGCCGCCGGCGCTGTTGCTGCTGCTGCCGGCGCTGCTTTGCTGGGCTGAGGACGCTGCGCCGTCTCAGCCCGCGCCCTCGCCCTCGCCGCAGCCCGCCACGACGAACGGGAGCCAGCCGGACGAGCCACACAACAGAACGCATGCGTGGGTTCCGGGCGCGCAGGGCTCGGCGCTGCTGCGCTCCTTCTACGTGCTCACGGGCCTCTGTGGCCTGGCGGCGCTCTACTTCCTCATCCGGGCATTCAGGTTCGTCAGGCGGAAGTTGTTGCCGCTGCCCTTCCTCAGCCAATTGGCACATGTCACGTGTGGGGGCGGGGCCGTGCTGCCACGTGGCTCCCCCAGGGCAAGTAGCGGGTTTTGGTAGTTTTCACTAGCGAGGGGTAGTGTGGGGTGGTGCTGCTTTTTAGGCGGATGGCATGGCCGGTCTCTCCTTCCCTGGAGGACACCAAGAGATTGCTTCTCTGTTCTCATGCTTATGGCAGCCACGAGTGTCCTGTCCTATTTTCCGGTACTGCTGTTAGCACTGCATAGAGACTCTCCAGGTCCCCAGGGACCCGCTGCCTGGCGTTCGCCTGCTACAACTGGCCTCTGACCTTCTTGGTCGGAGTCTGGTCAAGCCCTCTGCGGCCCTTTGGGTCCTCTTGCTCTCCCCACCCCTGTGTAGGACTTGTGCGTTGGAGCCTGCCCCTTCATTCTGGGTTCTCCTGATTGACTTCCCCTAGAAAGGTGAGAAGCGCCTGTCCTTCCCCGTGGCCCTCGTCTCTGTTGTGCCTCTGGGGCACTCTGGAGCTGATCTCTGGAAGGACCCTCATCACATCGGTGGTGATGTCCCTTCTGGTCATCATCCAAGCACAGTCTTGTAGTTCTTGGTGGAGAGCCTTCATCTCCTGACTCCGTTGCGTATGCCCATTCACTATATCTGTCTCTCCGTTTCTCTGGTATGGCCACCGGCAGGCAGGCAGGGGCTTGGGCCCACAGTCCTCCCTTTAGGGACTGGTGGACTCTTAACTCTGCTCCGGGACTCTCTGTCAGTAAACTGGGAGCCGGAACATCATCATTTTCTTGTGGTCTTGGCACAGGGGAGGTGGGGGTGAGCTGAGGAATGTGTTCACTTGCTGTTGCTGCAGTGACAGTTTTTTTTTTCCCCCTGAGGGAGGATTGAATGCAGGTGTACTTTACAAGAGAGCTACCCCCAACCCTTTTTTAAGTTTTGAGACAGTGTCCAGTTGCTCAGCTAGGCTGGAACTTGGAATTCTCCTACCTCAGTTGGGATGACAAGCGTGTGCTACCACATCCAGCTGTACGAAAGCATTTAGTAATAATCCTCATGGCTTTTACAATGTGAAGGTAGCAGACATGATTGGGCTGGATGCAGCAGGACTCTGGGGGTGGGAACGGGCACAAAAGTGAGGGCCAGGGGCCAGACGGAGAGAGCAGAGACAGCCACTGAGTGTGTCTGGACCATGTGCAGGTTGAAGAAACCACAACGGAGAAGGTATGGGCTCCTGGCCAACACCGAGGACCCTACCGAGATGGCCTCACTGGACAGTGGTGATGAGGAGACGGTCTTTGAGACAAGGAACCTGAGATGGTAGGGAAGTCCCCCTTTACCTCCAGGGAACCCAGTTAAGGCCAAGCTGAGCTGGAGACTTGAGAGAAATAGCAGGACTGGGGGGTGCAGGCAACCCATGGGGCCATTGAACCAGTCACTGGGACATTGATGCTCAGGCCACCACCCCCTTGGGCAACCTCGCTTTCTCTCCAGGTTTCCATTTCCTTCTCTTTAAGATGGGAAAGAGGGTTGGGGATGTGGCCGGGTGGTAGCATACACCAGGCTCCCGTTTCCAGCATGGCAAAAGTAAATAAATAAAGAGAGGTGGGGAGACTGCCACACTGACCATGGGCCCCACATTGATTAATAAGGTCAGCATTCAAGGTGGAGGGTTGTGGCAGGCTCATGGGCAGCATTTGACAGGACCAGTCTTGGAGATCCAGGCAGAGGGATCGTTGGGGCAAAAGCCGGGGAGCCAGAAGGGAGTACTGCTTGCATGGGGGAGGGTGGGGCCTCAGCAGGTATTAGCATGGCTGCTACAGGGACCCCTCCTGCTGGAACTGGACAGACATGGAGGATTAGGAGACCAACGGGCAAAGCAACGTGGAGCATGATTCTGTTTTCAGATCCCCAGAAGGGAGGCAGACTTAAGCCTGGCAGCCCCTCTGCAGTGTCTTCTACCACCCCCTCTTGGAGGAACCCCTTCCAGCAAGGGGGCGTTTGGGGAGGGTGCACCTGGTGGGCTGCCCCCCTTTGAGCACAGCACACCTCACCTCCCTCTCTTCTCTCGCCTTCCAGATGCTGAAGGGGGCAGGCGTTCTCATGGGCCACAGGGGAAGGGCGAGAGACAGCCCAGCTCTGTCCTCGGGCTTTGGTGCCACCCAGCACTCTGGTCGGAGCCTGCGCAGCCTGTCCAAAGCCTGCTTGATCCCAACCTGGACAACAGGGCCTTACCTCCCCAGATGCTGCCTTAGCCTGGCAAAAGGAAGTATGTTGAAACCTGAGGGCCCCCAACCACCACTGGGGACTCTTGAGGTCCCCCAGCTTGACTTGTACCACACCCTATACCCTTCCTGCGTGGAGATGTGGCAGCCCTGTACTGAGGCCTGATGGGCAGATGGACTGAGGGGTTGGTCTCAGAGCATGTTTGTGCTGAGCTGGGGACAATAAATGAGGCATTGGCTAATATGTCTGGCGTCCACCCTGCCTTGACTCCAGGCCTCGGTGCCCAGGTGTGGTGGGTGAAGGATGGGGATCTCTGCTCCAGGATTCCCTTGGCTATGCCACCTATAGCCTGGGGTTTAAGAGCCATGCATCTCAGTCTTCTAGCACCTTGGGGGAGTTCCAGAGGAGTCCTGGTGTGGTGGCTGAGCCGCCTGAGGCCCATGTGCCACTCCTCATCATGCCCCTGTATTCCCATCCCCAGCTAAGGACAGGCAGAGTCCAGGTCTCCTTAGAGATGAACCTGCCCCACTGGCTGAAGTCCTTTTCACCATGTGACGTGGGATTGCCACCAGGTGGCAGCCTTGTGCTAACTGGCTGTCCCCTGGCTTTCCAGGAGCAGAGCTGTCTTGGGGAAGCAGGTCCTGTGGGGCTGTTTCTCACACCTCTTCCTGAGCCCCCTCCTCATGTGCACCACTGCAGCACAGAGGAGCATCCCCTGCCCTTCCCATCTGCTTGCCTGCCTGGTCCTTCTCTGCTCAGCCACCGCCCCCAGGATGCTCTCCCTGACTGCACCACCAGTTTGTTCTGGTTCCTTGGGTGGGCTCCTTCAGGGAAGGTTGGGAGGCAGCAAGGGAGGCCAGAGCACCAGGGAGTAGCTGACACAGTTGGGAGTCTTGGGCAAGCCCTGGCTACTGCTTCATGTCTGTGTGGGTCTGGCACAGAGCCCCGTGCCCTTGTGTCTCTGCAACTGTTCCCTTCACTGTGATCAGCTCTTGTCTCTGCATCAGACCCCGTGGGACACATTTTTAACAGGCATGAAGTCTGTCCTGGCCCCCCACCCTGTGATCTGCACCCCTCTCCCAGAGCTCTGAGCCATTTCTCAAGCTTCAAAAAGCACATTAATTACTCTAATGAGGTCAGGAGAGACCCAGCTCATCCAGAGCCGGGAACACCACCCCTTCCCCCGCCTGCTGCCTCCCCTGCTGGGTGGAGGGTGAGCACCGCCCGTCTGTCCCTGTGCCTGTCAGCCCATCAGCCGCCACCCCCAGCATTAGTGTGAAGTAATTGGCAGCCCCCGCCAAGGTTAATGCACTATTAGCTGAGAGTCATCCACGGCTAACAGCCAGGAGAGGGGCCTGCAGTGCCAGCAGAAGGGCCTGGACCCCTCAGCCTGAGGGGAGCAGAGGGGCTCCCAGCACTGCTGCACTTCGAGTGTGCAAACACTTGCACATGTAGGTGCAAGGCAGGCTGTGGAAAGGGAGCCTGGGACTCGGTTATGTGTGCAGGGGTCACGGCCCCTACCTTCACAAAGTGTGGCTGTGTGGATGCTAAGCCCTGAGCCAGACCTGAGGTCTCTGGCATGGTCGCTGCTCCTCTGAGAAACGCCTCTGTTGCTGTTACGATTACACAAATCTCTGGGCCTCAGCCCCATGTATAACTGCATACTCCTGCATGACACCCAGGAAGTTCTGGACACAGTCGTCCCACTGGAGGGTGGGTGTCACCATGGGAGAGTGGTGTGGAGGGGGTGAAGCGGGGAGGATGAGGAGGGTGGGAAGTACCAGAGGTAGGGTGGCAGTTGAAGTCCCCTCCCCCCTCCATGGCTGACAGTGGGGATTGCTGGAACCTTAGGATCCACACTGAGATTCGGGGCCTGACTGGACACAAGTGGCATTTTAATCGGCAGGAGGAAGGGACACATCTAGACTCCCTGACCCCCAGTGGGTACACTGGGCTGGGTACAGACGCTGTCCACAAAAGTGCCCCTTCCACAGGTGCCCTGCTGGACTTGCTAGTGCTGCCTGGCAGGGCTGGGGCTTCTGAAACTGCCCCAGCTGGAGCTGACGGTGGGTCTGGTCCACTTGATTCTGTGATGAGACTTATCCAGGCTTGTGGCCTTGGATGGCTGAGGGCTGCTGGTCTGGGTCCCATGCCCTGCAGCCTGGCCCTGTGGGTGAGCCAGGGGCCCAGGCTGGGTCTGGATAGGAAGACCTTCCCCCAGTGTCCAGCAAACACCTGGGCCCAAGAATTCACACCCAGGTGGATGGGGGTGGGCCCCCATCAAAGTCCCTGTACTGGGTCTGGGCTGGTGGCTGGCCCCTAACCCTGGATAACTCCTGACACGGACCCTTGTCCATAAAGTGAGCCTGACCCCTGACCCTTGACTCCAAGGGAAAAGTCCAGAGTGGCCCCTTAACCTGGCTGACCACTGGCTAGCTGATTCTCCAGGCTGAGGCAGCCCCTGCCCAGGAGGGAAGAGGACTTTGGGGTTCCCCTGGCAGGGCAGGGTCCCCTGGAACAGCCTTAAGGGGGCAGGCTTGGAGCCCTCCCTCTCCTCCCGGCCAGTTCTCAGGAGTGCCTGGCGGGCACAGGGAGGTTGAATGGGGGACGCGCCGCCTTTGTTCCTGTCCCTGCTTGGGCTCTGACCTTGAGAGAGACAAGAACAGAGGAGAGTGAGCTTCTGCTCAAATCCGCTCGGCGGTGGCGGCTCCCGCCTTGGTGGCCCCTGCATGCAAATGAGCAGACCCAGGCCTTTGCCCAGGGTCCTCTCCTCTGTGCCCTTGTGGTTCTCCCCATGCAGGTCAAGGCCTGCTGGGTCTGACAGACCAGACTGCCTGTCCACCGCCTCCCCAGCAGGGCGGCTCCTGTCTTGGCAGGGGGGCTTTGGGAATGCCCACCTTTGCCAGCAGAATGCCCCTGGGCCCTCTGTGTCCTTCCTGTGTTCCAGCCACACCTCCACTCAAGACACCCTCTCTGGGAAAGGCCACCTCTCTGCTCCCCAGCGAGCCAGACCATGCCAGGCCCCCAGGACACCTTTCTGGGGGTCAGGGTGGTTATAACCCCACACTCTCAGTGAAGGCCCTTTCAGGTGACCCCAGACCTGCCTCAGCCACCACCTGTGGCGGGGTCCCTATCTTCCCCTATCCAGCCACCTGGGCCAACCTGGGGCCTTCAAATTGGATCATCTGTGGTTGGGTCAGGGGACAGGATCTCAAGCCCAGAACACCCAGAACTGACTGGCTGAGCTCTCCAGAGAAGGAGAGCCTTGTCCTTGCAGGTGGGACAAAACAGCCCCCACCCAGGGCTTGGACAGGAAGCCAAGGGAAGGAGAGACTTCCAGGTCGGGACCAAGGGTGGGCTGTGTGGCCTGCGGGAAGGGGGCAAGGAAGGAGCTCTGGGGCCATGTGACAAAATCCTACACACACCACAGGCTTGTGGTTGCGGGTCCATGTGCCATCTCCACGCTGCTGGGTCCAGGTCAGTTCCCTGCTCTCCAGATCTCAGAGTCCCTTGAGGAGTCTGGATAGTCCCTCACACTGGGGCCTTCCAGGGTCCAGATGGCTCCCAGCGTGGAGGCCACTGGCCCATTCTAGCTGCACCTGGTGACAGCGTCCCCTCCATAAGCTCAAGAGTTTGGCCAGAAAGGCTGTGGTAGGAATGAGAGCAGAAGCAGATGACAGACCCCTGGTTTCTCCAGGAAAGGGAGAGGTCCCTCTGAGGTCCCTGAACAGGCTGGACCCTGGGGCTTTTGCACAAGCTGTGCCCTCTACCAGGACCTCCCTCCCTGTCCTGCTGTGTGTTGACTTATTTGCTGTTGGCCTGGATCTCATTCTCAGCTTCTGGATACCATCCCGAGCTGCTCAGAGCCCAGGATCTTGACCACCTACTGTGTTCCTAACATCCTTAGGTATCTACTGGATGTGTTGTACACGCCAGAGAAGGAACAGGCTCCAGGTTCAGAGAGAGGAAGCTTGAGGCCCTGGGAAAGGCAGCAGAGGACGCTGCGGACTTCAGTCCACTGGACTCCAAAGCGCTCAGAGTTGTCCGGGTCTGATTCAGGACTTTTATGACCAGTTGATGTTTGAACCCCTGGTGAGGGCGCGCCTCGCACCTCTTCCGTGGCTCGGGGTGGGGCTCTGCAGAGGGCCTGCTGCAGTGCACGGAGGGGCTAGAGCCCTGTGTCCCCGTCCCCGCCCCCGTCGGCGGCAACGTTGGCCCCGGAAACCCCCCCGCAGAGTTGGGGTCATTGCAGCGGGACCCTATGGATCCAGCAAAACGACGCGGGCCGTTTCGCGGTCTGGCCAGGGCGGGGCGCGGCGGGGGCTGGAGCCCCCAGCCCAGCCCAGCCCAGCCCCGCGCAGCCCGGCGCGGCGGGAGGGGGCGCCCGCGGCCCGGCCGGCGCTCAGGCGGGACAAAGGCCCGGAGTCGGCCCCTCCCTGACGGGCTGCGAGTCCGCGCGCGGCCGGGTCCGCGCC